CCCCTCCCCCCTCAGGGTGCCGCTCCCTCAGGTGTGTCTCAGGTAGACCCGGTTGAGCCTGTTGAGGTAGCTGTCGACTCTCGTCCTGCTGGGGGTGCTGAGCCTGGGGGTGCTGAGCCTGGGGGTGTGGAGCCTGGGGGTGTGGAGCCTGGGGGTGTGGAGCCTGGGGGTGTGGAGCTTGAGGGTGCTGAGCTTGGGGGGGTGGAGCCTCGTGGTACTGAGCTGCGGAGTCCGGAGTCTGGGGGTTCTGCGTCTGGAGGTACGAGGTCTGGGAGTCCTGCACCTGGAGGAGCCCTCTCCTCGGAGCAGCTACGTGCGTGGTACTTAGAGTACTGCAGCCTCCGGAGAGGTACCGCTCGAGCCGGACGTACTACTGGGACTGGTGCTAGTACTTCTTCTCCCGTTCGGGAGCTCCCCTCCCGCGAGCGGATCCGTGAGTGGTACGAGCGGCGCTGCACTCTTCGGAGTGGCGTGCCTCGTGTTATGAACCCCGCTGCTGTTGGAGCTGCTGCTGGTGCTGAGGACCCGGGCGTTGGAGCTGCTGCTGGTGCTGAGGACCCGGGCGTTGGAGCTGCTGCTGGTGCTGAGGACCCGGGCGTTGGAGCCGCTGCTGGTGCTGAGGACCCGGGCGTTGGAGCTGCTGCTGGTGCTGAGGACCCAGGCGTTGGAGCTACTGCTGGTGCTGAGGACCCGGGCGTTGGAGCTACCGCTGGTGCTGAGGACGTGGACGCTGGAGCTGCTGCTGGTGCTGCCGACCCTGGTGCGGGTGTCCCTGCTGGCTCTGGTGTCGCTGCTCGGTCTCAGCCGTACTTTGTTCCGCTCCTTCAGCAGGTTCTTGGTCAGCTTCCTCCTCCTTTTCCTCCTCCCTCCTTAGAGTGTCCTCAGCCTGTCCAGCTGCAGTCGGCGTTACCGTCTGCCTCCTCTCTCCTTGGTCCTGCTCCTTACACTGGTCCGACTGGAGGTCTTACTGAGCGGCGTGAGCCTGCGTCTCGTCCTGCGTCGCCTGAGTCTCGTCCTGGGTCGCCTGTCCGCACTGCTCTCTCTAGTCGTCGAGTCCAGCGTCAGCGTCTTCCTGCTGTCCCAGGCACTCACCGGATGGCGCTTCGTCCGTCCACTGCTCCACAGCGTGTCCCACTGCCGTCTCCTCCTGCTTCCTCTCTTCCTGCTCTTCCTGACCCTGGGTCAGACTCTCTTCGTGCTACCAGTCCTGCTGTCACGCGTCTCCTGGCCACTGTTGTCACTGACCCTTCCTTTGAGTCTGCTGCTGCGTCTGCCTTAGTTGCTGAGCTTGTCGACTTTGCTGCTCGCTGTCGTCTAGACTACGCTGCTAGCCTAGTTGCTGAGTCTGAGTCTGTCTGTCCTCCGTCCGTCGGGGGTGAGTGTGCTCTTGGCACTGACGTCCTTGAGGACAGGCAGGAGGAGTTCCAGTGCTTTGCTGCCGCTTTGCCCCATCTCGTGTCCATGCTTGTTGCCCCTGAGGGAGACCCGGATGCACCAGACATCCCGACCCCACGCTCTTACGCAGAGGCGATGGCCGGTCCCTACTCCTCTCAGTGGCAGTCAGCCATGGACACAGAGATGGCTTCCTGGAAGTCCACAGGCACCTACGTCGACGAGGTTCCCCCGCCTGGGGCGAACATCGTCAGTGGCATGTGGATTTTCAGGGTGAAGCGGCCACCGGGTTCTCCACCTGTCTTCAAGGCGCGTTACGTTGCACGAGGCTTCAGTCAGCGCGAGGGAGTGGACTTCTTCCAGACCTTCTCCCCGACCCCGAAGATGACCACTCTTCGGGTTCTGCTGCACGTCGCCGCTCAGCGTGACTACGAGCTCCACTCGCTTGACTTCAGCACTGCTTTCCTGCAGGGCAGCCTGCACGAGGAGATCTGGCTGCGCCGTCCACCTGGCTTCACTGGGTCGTTCCCTCCTGGTACCCAGTGGAGCCTCCGACGGCCAGTCTACGGTCTCCGCCAGGCGCCTCGTGAGTGGCACGACACACTGAGGACTACGCTTGCGGCTCTTGGGTTCGCGCCTTCTACTGCTGACCCGTCGCTGTTTCTACGCACCGACACCTCACTGCCGCCGTTCTACGTCCTTGTGTACGTCGACGACTTGGTTTTTGCTACTGCTGACACTGTGGCACTCGCCCACGTGAAGTCGGAGCTGCAGAAGAGACACACGTGCACAGACCTGGGTGAACTGACAAGCTATCTTGGCTTGCGGATCACCCGGGACAGAGCACGCCGCACCATCGCCTTGACTCAGTCACACATGGTGCAGCAGGTCCTTCAGCGCTTCCGCTTCACGTACTCCTCGCCTCAGCCCACTCCTCTGCCTACCGGTCACTCGCTCTCAGCTCTGCCTTCGGATGAGTCCGTAGAGCCGAGTGGCCCGTATCCAGAGCTTGTGGGTTGCCTCATGTACCTGATGACCTGCACTCGACCAGACCTTGCATACCCTCTCAGCATTCTTGCATGCTATGTCGCTCCCGGCCGTCACCGGAAGGAGCACATGGATGCAGCTAAGAGGGTGTTGCGCTACTTGTGCAGTACGTCGGGCATGGGGCTAGTGCTTGGAGGGCGAGTCCCAGTTGTTCTCACTGGACACTCAGACGCTTCTTGGGCAGACGACCAGGCTACTCAGCGGTCGTCTCAGGGTTACTCCTTCAGTCTTGGCTCTGGTTCTGTTTCTTGGCGTTCTACTCGCTCTTCTTCTGTTCTCAGCTCCAGTTGTGAGGCTGAGATCTACGCCACAGCCATGGCGGCCCAGGAGCTACGCTGGCTCACCTACTTGCTGACCGACCTTGGAGAGCAGCCTCGTTCTCCTCCAGTGCTGTACGTCGACAACAAGGCAGCCATTGCCTTGTGTGAGGAGCACAGACTGGAGCACAGAACGAAGCACATTGCTCTGCGTTACTTCCTCGCTCGAGAGCTGCAGCAGCGTGGTCAGCTTCGCCTGCGTTACGTGGCCTCTGAGGCCAACACTGCTGATGTGTTCACCAAGGCGCTTCAGCCTTGTGACCATCAGCGCTTTTGCACTCTTCTAGGCCTTGTGCCTACTGGACCTCACTTGCTTACTTCTTGAGTCTGTTGTACTGTGATCTCTATATATAAACCTGCATGTGAACTGGTCTTGTGACCACTTGCTTGTGCTCGGAATTTGTGTGGTATCCTTGAGATCCACCCTGAGCTTGTTTTGCCTTGCTTTGCCTTGACTGGTCTTGTGACCCCTAGTTCTCCCCCACTTTGCCTATGGGGGTGTGTCAAACATTATATATGTTGTGTTAGTTTAGGCTACAGTGGGTTAGCCTATAGGGGGTACACAATTCTAGGGTTAGGTACTTGTACTCTTTTCATTGCTAGTTCATTCATTCCTGTTCAGTGATTCCAACAGACTCCGCCACTCGTACTGCTTCGAGGAACGATGTCGGGCGGCTCCTGCGGACCTCAAACTGTATTTCATATTTAAGGCCGCTGACGTATTTATCCAACCGCTCTGCTTCCGACATGTCATCAATTTGGTCGGCGAAGCCCATAAATGACAATGTGTAGTCTTGGACAGATGCCATCTGCGACCATGCACGCAGCTTCATGCGAGCTTGCTCCGAGGCGGATACGTGCTCGAAGCGATCTCGTAAGGCTGCGCCCCACTCCTTCCACGTGCGTATCTTGGTCACCCCGAAGATCGGTTCTGCCACTTGATTAACCACTGTAGAGGTCCCGTCTGCCGCATGTGTCACACCTGTCGGCGTCCCCGTTTCCAAGGTCCGGCGCCACCACTCAAGTGCTGCACCTCGAAGAAGTGAGACCGCGTAATTAATACACGTGGCATCGTCATTAACTCCGGCTGCAGTGAAAAAGACCTCGACCCCGAATAGCCACCCTTTTACCGTAACCGTTTTATCCGTAGGGTTAAACTGGGGCGGGTTGACGGGCTTGAACTTGATCGTCGTGACTGCAACTGGCGCAACTGCCGCTTGCCGCCTATCTTCTTCTTCGAAGTCACTTGTGAGCTCGTCCAGAGGATTGCCCATCACTTGACTGTTGCCCTCGCCTTCTTCATCGGGCGACTCCTGACGCGCTTCACCTCGCGTCTGGCGTAGCTCGGCGTTTTCTCCTCGTAGTGTTGTCACTTCCGCCGATAGTGTCTGCACTGTTGCCTGTAATGCTGCCATTTGCGCCAACATTTCGTCCAACTTCTCCTGATCCATGTGCCTAACGCTTCGTCTGGTGGGCAAGTGGGTACCCGTGGTATCCAGGCAAGTGAAAACACGAACTATCGGAGTCGGGCAGGATTGAGTTAACAATCCCTGCAGCCAACCGTCGTGTAGTCACTAAACCCACCACACCCCTGCCACCAAACTACCCTCGGAAAGCGGGGTGAACTAGGAAAGTAGCTCTGATACCAGGTGTTATGAGTTGTAACAGAGAGTGCGCAGGTAAACGAATAACGAGACTGTGATTGAACGAACTGCGAATACAATGAATGCACAGACTAATGTAGGGCTAGCCTAGCTAGGAGGAAACCTCGGACAAGCGAGGTTGGGTGCAGGTTTGGCGATGGAAATGCCGAAGGCGACGCGAGGAGCCTCGGCAGCGTTGAAATCGGCCGAACGTGCGAACTCCGAAAATCGGGTTGTACGCGAAGCAGTCAACCCCGATAAGGAATTCGGGAAAATTCCTTACAAGAAAGATATCAGGAAAATGCACTATACTATATGGAGCAACAAATATGTTATTATTTATAACGGGATTCTTATTTCCTCATTACAAAATACGATAAAACTTTTTTTCTCGCGTTTGAGCGTTAGTTAATGGGGACTGATTTAGATATTGATATTCTACTTGTTCTAATCATATTTTAAAAGGTGTGTGTTTTTACCTACATCTGATTATTTGCAATATCATAGTTGGTTTACTGAGTTTGTTTATTTGCAGGTAACTCTGATGTTTGCGGATGGCGTGGTCACACGCGTGTTGTCACGTGATACAGTTCCAAATTCAATGTGTGCGTTTTTTTTTGTCACGTGCCCGTGAATTTAGCTTGCAATTCGCCGCATCATCATAACAATGTACGCTTATTTTAAAACCCATTTCTTGCCCGGTTTTGCTCTGGCAGAAAATAACCTTGCAAGCGCCACACATTCCCAACCACTCTTTTTTTTGCCAGCGCCTGAGATCCTTCCGTTCTCCCGCTGTCAACTCAAATTCTCCGCTGACTTGGATTCTTGAATTTGAGCACCTGCTCTACTCTGCTCCCTCTGCCTGTCACTTTGGTACTGTGCGCTACGTTCCGTTTCCCTTCCCAGCTGTCAATTCGAACTCCTCCTGCTCTCTCTGCCATTTTCTCCCAACCCACCATCGCCCATCCTCTTGTCTAGCTATCATCCAGCTACGTGTATCGCATTTTACTAACACCCAGCCGTCGCCTCTCCCTCTTATCCCGTAGTCGCCCCTCCCTCCTACCCTGCCGTCGCAATTCCCTCCCATCCCGCCGCCACCTCTCACCCCGTCATCGCCTCTCACTCCCACCCCCCTGTCGCGTCTCCCTCACTCCCCGCCATCGCCACTCCCTCCTATCCCGCCATCTCCACTACCTCCCACCCCGCCGTCGCCACTCCCTCTTATCCCGCCGCCGTCTCTTCTCCCATCCGGCCGCCGCCTCTCCCTCCTCCCCGCCGTCGCCTCTCCCTCCTCCCCGCCGTCGCCTTTCCTTTCTCCCCGCCGTCGCCTCTCCCTCCTCCCCGCCGTCGCCTCTCCCTCCTCCCCGCCGTCGCCTCTCCCTCCTCCCCGCCGTCGCCTCTCCCTCCTCCCCGCCGTCGCCTCTCCTTTCCTCCCCGCCGTCGCCTCTCCCTCCTCCCCGCCGTCGCCTCTCCCTCCTCCCCGCCGTCGCCTCTCCCTCCTCCCCGCCGTCGCCTCTCCCTCCTCCCCGCCGTCGCCTCTCCTTTCCTCCCCGCCGTCGCCTCTCCCTCCTCCCCGCCGTCGCCTCTCCTTTCCTCCCCGCCGTCGCCTCTCCCTCCTCCCCGCCGTCGCCTCTCCCTCCTCCCCGCCGTCGCCTCTCCCTCCTCCGCGCCGTCGCCTCCTTCACTCCTCGTCGTCGCCTCTTTTCCCCTCCCCGCCGTCGCCTCTCCCTCCTCCCCGCCGTCGCCTCTTTTCCCCTCCCCGCCGTCGCCTCCGGCGGCAGGTGCACGAGCGCAAGCGCGAGTGTTGGTGCGCGAGCGCGGGTTGGTGCGCCAGCGCGGGTTGTTTTCTGAAACACCGTGATTATCAGGTGCGTTCCCGGTCCTTTCATCCTCCCTTCCCCCACTGAATTTTCCTCCCCCCCTCCCTCCCCTCTTTTTTGTTTTGTTTGCTCTCTTCGTAAAGTTTTTGTGTAGATTGGTCTCCTCTCGCATTGCACTTTCATTTGAAGAAGGGGAGAGACGGAGCGCGAGGGAGAGCATGTACACGGAAGCGAACACGCAGGAAAGCGCGCGTGAGAGTGCGCGTGAGAGAGCGCACGAGAGAGCGCACGAGAGAGCACGTGAGGGAGCGCGTGAGAGAGCGCGCGCGAGTGAGAGTGTTCCTGAGAGTGCGCGTGATAGAGCGCGTGAGAGAGCGCATGCGCGTAAGGGAGCGCGTGCGCGTGAGAGAGCGCGTGCGCGTGAGAGAGCTCGTTAGAGTGCGCGTGAGAGAGCGCGTGAGAGTGCGGATGAGAGTGCGCGTGAGGGAGCGCGTGAGAGTGCGAGTGAGAGTGCACGTGAGAGTGCACGTGAGAGTGTAAGTGAGAGTGCGCTTGAGTGAGTGCGTGAGAGAGAGCACGTGAGGGAGCACGTGGGAGAGCGCGTGGGAGAGCGCGTGAGAGAGCGCGTGAGACGCGTGAGAGAGTGCATGAGAGTGCGCGTGAGAGAGCGCGTGAGAGAGCGCATGAGAGAGCGCGTGAGAGAGCGCGTGAGAGAGTGCGTGAGAGAGCGCGTGAGAGACGCGTGAGAGAGCGCGTGAGAGACGCGTGAGAGAGCGCGTGAGAGAGCGCGTGAGAGAGCGCTTGAGAGAGCGCGTAAAAGCGCGCGCGAGAGCGCACGTGAGAGAGGGCGTGAGAGAGCGCGTGAGAGTGCGTGAGAGAGCGCGTGAGAGAGAGCGTGAGAGAGCGCGAGAGGGAGCGCGTGAGAGAGCGCGTGAGAGAGAGCGTGAGAGGGCGCGAGAGGGAGCGCGTGAGAGAGAGCGTGAGAGAGCGCGTGAGAGGGCGTGTGATAGAGCGCGTGAGAGAGCGCGTGAGAGAGCGCGTGAGAGTGCATGTGATAGAGCGCGTGAGAGAGTGCGTGAGAGTGCGTGTGATAGAGCGCATGAGAGAGTGCGTGAGAGGGTGCGTGAGAGACGCGTGAAAGCGTGCGTGAGAGAGCGCGTGAGAGAGCGCGTGAGAGAACGCGCGAGAGAGCGCGTTAGAGAATGCGTGAGAGAGCACATGAGAGAGCGCGTGAGAGTGCGCGTGAGAGAGCGTGGAGAGAGCACGTGAGAGAGCGCGTGAGAGACGCGTGAAAGCGTGCGTGAGAGCGCACGTGAGAGAGGGCGTGAGAGAGCACGTGAGAGAGCGCGTGAGAGAAAGTGGGAGAGAGCTTGTGAGGGAGCGCGTGAGAGCGTGTGAGAGCACGTGAGAGAGCTCTGAAAGAGCAGGTGAGAGAGCGCGTGAGAGATTGCGTGAGAGAGTGTGTGAGAGAGCGCGTGAGAGAGTGCGTGAGAGTGCGTGAAAGTGCGTGAGAGAGCGTGAGAGAACGCACGAGAGAGCTTTATGAGCATGCTGGGGCATATGCGCTAGCATCTATTCTGCTGGTGCTTGGGCAGCTGGGACTACTTATGCAAACGAGTGTCGCTTTCTGCACTAGTGTTTAGTGTGTCGGCTTCTAAGGTGTTTGCTTCTCTGTTTATGCTGTGTGCATGCCGTGTGTGTGTTTGCTTCTCTGTTTTTGCTGTGTGCAGGCCGTGTGTGTGCTTGCTTCTCTGTTTTTGCTGTGTGCAGGCCGTGTGTGTGTTTGCTTCTCTGTTTTTGCTGTGTGCAGGCCGTGTGTGTGTTTGCTTCTCTGTTTTTTGCTGTGTGCAGGCCGTGTGTGTGTTTGCTTCTCTGTTTTTTGCTGTGTGCAGGCCGTGTGTGTGAACTTCTCTGTTTTCGCTTTGTGCAGGGCGCGTGAGCTGCGAAGGGAGATGTGGGAGGGAGTGGGAGGGAGATGAGGGAAGGAGGGACGGAGGGGTGTAGGGAGGGTTAAGGGAGATCAGGGAGTGGGGGAGGGAGGGGAATGGGGGGCAAGTTAGCAAGGGCTATGCTTGCATGCTTAGTATTAGCTGTATGTTTCTGTGTGTTTTTCTCTCTGCGTATGTGTGTGCGTACATGTAGTTGTGTGGCTCTGTTTCGGGGTGAGTGCTAAGTGCCTCGTGTATACAATTGCGGTTGTGATCGTTGGTGGGGCAGCTTTGGTTGCCTCTTCCATACCAGATCAATCGCAGTTGCATTAACGATGCATTCTAGCATTAGCCTCGAAGCACTCACAACTGGTGTTTCTCGTTTTTGTACAAGTTCGTGTGCTGTCGTTTGGGTCTATTTGGGGTGGTGCTAAATGCATCATGTATGCAACAGGGGTTGTCATCGTCGGTGGGGCAGCTTTGCTCGCCTTTTCCGTACCATATCAATCTCAGTTGCAGCATTGATGCATTTAGTGTTTGCCTCGAAATGTTCATGATTTCAGCATGTGGTTTTTGTACACGTTCGTGTCCAACCAATTGTTCCATTCGCCGTACTTATCGACGACTATGGAATTATTGGTTACATTTGGTTTCACATTTTTGGGGCAACTAAAAAGTTGAACAGCAATTTTTTCCCGAACGGGCAGGGAAAAATCACTGTTCACGGTCAGTTCCCCAAAAAGTGAAACCAAATGTATAAGGTGTTGAAATAGGTTCTTAACTTAGTAGGCTTAGTAGCCTAGGGTTTAGCTAGGACGAGAGTAGCAAGGGTGAGGTCGAGGGTGTTAACCAAGGGAGAAACAAGAATGTGTGTTCACTATGAGAAGAGTTACAAGTTATAGCAAGCCAAAGGGTGCACCACCTAACAGGACAGCAATAGAACTACACTACAGCTAGAACTACATGCAGTTATACAGAAATATATTCTGACATAAGGTTGCTACGCAACCCAAAAAAAGGACACTGGCGCTGACGCCTGGCAAAAATTGACGCCTTTACGGCGACAATACTGAGCCTAATCCTAGCAGGAACGCAAACCAGGGAAAGCAGCAGCTTGAATGCTAGCAATGAAATGCAGCAGCAGCAGCAGCAATGCTAGCAAAGAAATATCCACATGGGATGGGATGGGAGAGAATGGCTAGTAGCGAAAGCAGTAGCTTGAGCGCCAGTGTGGCAGGAGCTGGGGAGTTTAGGATTAAATTGGATAATTGTGCAAACCGCTGAAATACCTATGGAAACTGGGGAGCACGCAGAGTTTTCAGTATGAGTGTAGTTTCGGAAGAAGGGAATGTATATAGCGAAAATGTGGTCCTTCCCCACGTGGGTGCCTTTTCCCACGTGGTTCATCAGCATCTCCCTTGAGAGCAACGGCGGAGCAGATCAAGGGAAATTATACGCGCAGTCACAATTATGGCCGTATTATCACGTTTGGTCACGGGGTTATCACGGACAGTCACAGTACAGTACTTCGCCATCACACATGATCACAGCGCTATCACGCTTGATCACTCCTCGCCCCGCAGGGTTATCACGTTTGGTCACTCGTTGAAACGCCCGCCAAAAAGTCGAAACTCTCAAATCTACTGTACAGATTCGGGTACTTCTATCTCGCGCGCGTTTTGTCTGTAGTGAAAAACGTGATGTGACAGTCACATCACGTTTTTCACTACAGACAAAACGCGCGCGAGATAAAAGTACCCGAATCTGTACAGTTGATTTGAGAGTTTCGACTTTTTGGCGGGCGTTTCAACGAGTGACCAAACGTGATAACCCTGCGGGGCGAGGAGTGATCAAGCGTGATAGCGCTGTGATCATGCGTGATAGCGAAGTACTGTACTGTGACTGTCCGTGATAACCCCGTGACCAAACGTGATAATACGGCCATAATTGTGACTGCGCGTATAATTTCCCGCAGATCAACCGCGCTCAAGCAACGCGCACCCCAGTTCGGATGCAGCAGGCGGAACTTGTACCCTTGCGCCGACGCCGAGAATGCGGGGAACCATTCTTGAGCCTTCGGGTACAGTATTTTCAGAAACGCAGTGCCGTGTCAAGCATCAATAAAAACTTCTCTTAGCCGCATGCTTCAGAGGCTCGAAACAGTGCTGGGTGGGTTCTGGACGGCCCTTTGGGCTGTGTAGACTGTCGGCCCCAACCCACACAGGAGCACCACAGCTCGGTCAAATTTATGGGTAGGTACGAAAATGTCCCTCCGGGTTGCCAGAAAATCAGGGTGTGGCAGAGATTGAGGTTCGTCCTGGCGCCCACTGGTAGGGTGTTGCAGCAGAGCGCCTTGATGTTGTCTGAGGTTGAGCCAGAATCGCTGTTAACCGCGCAGAAGCTTACTGAAACACACTGAACGATCAGCAGACGAACGTGCGGGCGGAACTCTCTCTCAAGTGTGCAGCTACCCTTTTTTACCGCCAAGCACGCCTCACGACAACTGGCTACTCTAGTTTCTCTCCCCCAACACCGCCTCACACACTAGCCTCCCGCGTTTTCTAAACTTGGCATGTAGTTTTTAGTGAGTGGTCACGTGAAAATCGCGATTACGTACTCTACCAGTCCGTGCTCTGGCTACCACGAAGACCGTCTCGTGCGGGCTTCTAGAGTGCGTGATAGCCAGTATTGAAAGTTCTTTCCTGGCCTTCACACGAGCCGCATCGACGAATAGTTAGCTCGTTTTGATTTTGATCAGCAAAGCATGCGCAGATCGTTGTCGCCACCTAAGATCGCGCATTAGGATTACTCCCCGCTCACTACATTGTGCAGAGGATCTTACGGGCGTACGGTACTTTCCACCTCCGTGATTCCCGCTTTTCCCGCTCGCTTTTCCTCACCGCCTGGCGATATCGTAGCGCGGATTGTTTTATAACTTGACTGAAACGACGTCGTGTCCATAAGTACGTTAGCGGAGTCATTTTGTCAAATTTCAGTGCTACGGTGGTTGTCATCTCCTGCTTGACTGAAACGACGCGGTTCTCGTCCTGTTTTATTACAAAGCGCTTCGAAGCAATGCTAGGCTTTCCTTACTTGGCGTGAAGGAAGCAACTCGAGCTCTCGCTCTGTTTTCCCCACAGTCTGGCTGTCGCGCAGCCTAGACGCAGCTACGCGAGGGATCGTCGCCATGCGACGGTGTGCGAAAAAAACGATAGAAATGTCGCGAGGGTAGGAAGCGCGAAGAGGAGGAGTGTCGGTGTGTTCCCTGCTGGCGGCCCGTGGCATCTCAACACAAGCTCGCCTGTAGCAACGGCTGTAGCAGTGGCTGTTGCAGCGGCTCTAGCAGCGGCTGTAGAAGCGGCTGTAGCAGCGGCGTAGAAGCGGCAAGATAGGACTGGGGAATACTGCGCGGTGATACAGTTCGCGCGAGGAGGGAAAGGGTAGGCGGAGTGATATCAGCAGGGGGACGCTGCGAACATGGGGGCGGGAAGGGGAGTTGGCGGAGCGTCCGCGGGAGCTCCCGCAGCAACAGTCGGCGGAAGTCCCGCAGCCGCGGGATCAGGCGCGCGCGCGTCTCCCGCCGCAGTAAACGGCAGCTCTGCCGCTGGCCCCAGCCACAGCGGGGCCGGCGGCGGCGGAGGCGGCGGAGGCGGCGGCGATGGCGGAGGGGGAAGCGCGCATGACGGATCGCACGGGTCGCATGGTTCGTCGCATTCGCAGGGGTCGGCGTCGCAGAGCAAGTGGCAGGACCAGCTTTCGCGAATGACGAACATGATTTTCGTCGCGAGCCAGGGCGACGTAAACGAGTTGACGCGGCTTCTGGACGAAGGCGCGGACGTCAATAGCGCGGATTACGACGGGCGGTCCGCGATACACCTCGCGGCGTGCGAGGGCCACCTGGGCGTGCTTAAACTGCTGCTGGCGCGCGGCGCGCGAGTCAACCCGCGGGATAGATGGGGGCACACGGTCTGTTAATGACGGGTGTAGAGAGCGGGAGCGGGAAGGATGGGGGGAAAGGGGAAGGGGAAGGGGAAGGGGAAGGGGAAGGAGGGAGAGAGCGGGAGGGAGGGGGAGGGAGGGGGAGGATGGCTCAAAAGTCGACTCAAGAGTCATTTATCAACGTGTGTGGTTTGGAGAATATAGAGGGAGGGAGGCTTAGTCTAGATTGAGCCGTGTGCTTCAATGTCCCTCGCCCTCCCCTTGTCCCTGATCCTCTCTACCCCCCATCCTGGCCCGCACATCCCCCTTTCCATAACCCCCTTCTCCCCTCCTCCCCCACCCCCTCCCCCCCCCCCCCTTTCTTTCCTCCCTCCCGTGCAGCCGCTGACAGGCGCACGCAAGGGGTTAGCCTGTGCGTTCATACAGGCTGACCCCCCCACCTCCTTCCTCTTTCATCCCGTGCTATCGTTCCCCCCTTGTGCCCCTGCTCATACCTCTCCCTGCCCATCCATGTCCTTCCTCCCACTCCGCTCCCCCACCCCCACACGGGCCCCCCACAGCCTCTGACAGACGCGCGCAAGGCCATGCGGGAGGGGAAGAAGGGGCAGTGCCCCGAGATCATACAAGTGCTCCCCTTGTCCCTGCCCTCGTTTCCCCCCACCCTGACCCACACATTCCCTCCGCCTCTCCTCCCTCCACAGCCGCTGACAGACGCGCGCAAGGCCATGCGGGAGGGGAAGAAGGGGCAGTTTCCGGAGATCATACAAGTGCTGTTGAAGCATGGGGGCATCGAGGGGGTGAGTGGTGAGGAGCGGTGAGGAGTGGTGGGACGGATGCATGTGGTCCTTGTGCATTGATAAGGGAGGGGAAGAAGGGGCAGTTCCCCGAGCTCGTACAAGTGCTGATAAAGCATGGGGGCATCGAGGGGGTGAGCGGTGAGGAGCGGTAGGAGGGGGTGCATTTGTTAAGGGAGGGAGGAAAAGTGCGTTGCAGTGTTAAGGGAGGGGAAGAAGGGGCAGTTTCCAGAGATCATTCAAGTGCTCTTGAAGCATGGTGGCATTGAGGGGGTGAGTGGTGAGGAACAGTGGGAAGTGATGGAGAGTGGTGGAGAGTGGCGAGGAATGGTGCGGAGTGGTGAGGATTGGTGGGACGGAGTGCATGTGATGTGTGTGTGTGTGTGTGTGTGTGTGTGTGTGTGTGTGTGTGTGTGTGTGTGTGTGTGTGTGTGTGTGTGCTGACGGAGGTGAGAGATGCATTGCATTGATAAGGGAAGGGAAGGAAATGCAGTTTTTGGAAATCACGAAATCAAACCACACCCATCATGACAACGCGCCAAATCACACCCCACCCTGTCAAACCGTACCAAACCGTACCCAACCGCACCCCACCTGACTCCACCCCCACCACCACAGGGTGCAGAAGCGGACGACTGGGAGATAGACCCATCGGAGCTGGATTTCAGCAAGTCGAAACTCATAGGCAAGGTCGGTGTGAGTGAGGGTGAGTGAGGGTGTGAGAGAATGAGAGTGTGAGAGAATGAGAGTGGGAGCAAAATTGTGTGTGCGTAGGTGCTCATTCGTGGGACGACTGGGAGATCGATCCATCCGAGCTGGACTTCAGCAAGTCGAAACTCATAGGCAAGGTGGGTGTGAGTGAGGGAGTGACTCACTGCGAGTCAGTGTGTGAGTGAGTGTGTGAGAGTGAGGGAGTGAGTTAGTGCGCAAAATAGAGTGGGGCCAAGGATATGTGTGTGTGTGTGTTCACACATGGGACGACTGGGAGATAGACCCATCGGAGCTGGACTTTAGCAAGTCGAAACTCATCGGCAAGGTGAGTGTGAGTGGGGATGTGAGAGAGAGTGTAATTAGTAAGTGTGCGAGTGTGGGCGTTAGGGTGTGTGTGAACCTGTTCATTCATGGAACGACTGGGAGATAGACCCATCCGAACTGGACTTCAGCAAGTCAAAGCTCATTGGCAAGGTGGGTGTGAGTGAGTGAGTGAGTAAGAGTATATGAGTGAGCGTGTGAGTGAGTGTGGGTGAGTGAGTGTGATTGAGAACGAAAGAGTGGGAGCAAGGATGTGTGCCGGCAGGTGTTCTGTCATGGGACATCCGTGAAATATTTCTGTGCAAACTTCACTTCAGCAATTCGAAGCAACTCACCACCCCCTCCATCCTCACCCCATTCCACACCCCCTCCTTCCCCCATCCCTCCATCCCTCCTCCCCCCATCCCTTCCTCCCTCCTCCCCCATCCCTCCCTCCCATTTTCGCTCTTCGTTCCCTCGTCCCCCCCATCCTTTCATCTCAGGGTGCGTTCGGTGAGATCAGGCGGGTCATGTGGAGAGGCACCCCCGTGGCCGCCAAGACAATCCTGCCGGGGCTATCAGACGACGTGCAGATCACGTGAGTGCCTTCATTTTCCATGCCTTCGCTTTCTCCAAAGTCGCTTTCAGCACCCCAGTGGCCGCCAATCACGTGAGTGTCTCATTCTCTCCATACTGAGGCTCCCACATGCATGCTTGCTGATCCTCCCCTGTGAATGAATGAGCGCTCCCGTGGCTGCCAAGACCATCCTGCGGGGTCTATCAGATGACGTGCAGATCACGTGAGTGTCTCTGCCTGCATGCCTGATGGGATTTTCTTCTCTTTTGTTATGCGTGGGTGAGCCCTCCCAGTGCCGGAGTTGGTTTCGAGAATCCTCAAAATCACTCCCAGTGACAGTGACTGCCAAAACGATACTGCCGGCCGGCCCTATCAGTATCAGATCAGATAACGTGCAGATCCCGTGAGTGCCTGCTCTGTGGTTGCCCTCCGCCTGCCAGCATGTTCTAAGAATTCTAAACTAGTAATGCTGGTGTGGTGCACATATCATTTGCTTTACCTGAAAATAGAAAAGAAATTTAAAAAATAAATGAACGATTCGTTGCTTTGGTTGTCCCCTTGTCACATATAGTGAGGGCTGTTTCTTGAGCGATTTGCATCTCTTGGTGTTATCTTGTGTGGTTGATTGCTGCTCATATGACTGCCCATACCCTACAAACAGGACCACATGGTATTGATTGTTCACATGATTGTTGTGTGTGTTACACCCTGCCAACCTTGAAATCCCTTGAATGGTACTGCAATGCCCTATTTTCCTTTCTCTCCTTGTTCCTGCTCATTGCACTTTTCTCTGATGGGGGGCAGGAGAGAATTCCGGGACGAAATGTTTCTGCTGCCCAAGCTGAGGCACCCCAACATCGTGCAGTTCCTGGGGTGCGTCACCCGCCGGCCCCCCCTGTGCCTCGTCACCGAGTTCCTTCCCGGGGTGAGTGGCAGCATCATGCATCATGCAGAATGCAGTAGGCGAGCGAGATGCAGAGAGCATGATGCGCAGTGCGGTATGCGGGATGTGGAATGCATAGTAGTGTGTGCAGTGGGTGCGGTGGGTGCGGTGGGTGCGGTGGGTGCGGTGGGTGCGGTGGGTGCGGTGGGTGCGGTGGGTGCGGTGGGTGCGGTGGGTGGCCCAAGCTGCGGCACCCCAACATCGTAGTAGGCGAGATGTAGAGAGCATGATGCGCAGTGCGGTATGCGGGATGTGGAATGCATAGTAGTGTGTGCAGTGGGTGCAGTGGGTGCGGTGGGTGCGGTGGGTGCGGTGGGTGCGGTGGGTGCAGTGGGTGCGGTGGGTGCAGTGGGTGCGGTGGGTGCGGTGGGTGCGGTGGGTGCGGTGGGTGCGGTGGGTGTGGTGGGTGCGGTGGGTGCGGTGGGTGCGGTGGGTGCGGTGGGTGCGGTGGGTGCGGTGGGTGCGGTGGGTGCGGTGGGTGCGGTGGGTGCGGTGGGTGGCCCAAGCTGCGGCACCCCAACATCGTAGTAGGCGAGATGTAGAGAGCATGATGCGCAGTGCGGTATGCGGGATGTGGAATGCATAGTAGTGTGCACTGGGTGCAGTGCTCCAAGCTGCGGCACCCCAACATAGTGCATGATGCTTCCTGGGGTGCGTCACCCGCCGGCCTCCCCTGTGCCTCGTCACAGAGTACAGCACAGCACACTCCATGATGCTGCAGGGTGTTTTTGAGAATTCTCAAAAACACCTCACAGAGTACAGCACAGCACACTCCTCCTCACACCCCATTCCGTCCTGCCCGCACCGCACCCCTCGCCACTTTTGACAGGTGTTTAAGTCGACTCATAAATCACAACCCTCACTCAACACCCCACACTCCCCCCACATCCCTCCTCCCCACACCCCTCCTCCGCACACCCCCCCTCCGCACACCCCTCCTCCGCACACCCTTGCTTGTTATCCACAGGGCGATCTACACGATGAGCTCAAGGCCAAGGGTGCCCTGCCTTAGCTACCCTCTCTCATCACCCCCACACCCCTCCTGCCCCCACTGCCTTCCCCTCTCCTCCCTCCTGCCTTTACTATCCCCTTTCATCACCCCCACACCGCACCCCCCACCCTCTTCCATCCTTCCCGCACCCCTCCTCACACCACCTCCCCACACACCTCTCCTCCCCACCCACAGGGCGATCTACACGACGTGCTCAAGGCCAAGGGCGTCCTGCCCCTGCTTTATCCACTCATCACCCGCACACTCCCCACACCCCCCCACACCCCCCCACACCCCTCCTCACACCTCTTCCCCACACCCCTCCTCCCTCCCCACAGGGCGATCTGCACGATGTGCTCAAGGCAAAGGGTGCCCTGCCGCCCAGAATAGCGGTGGGATATGGGCTGGACATAGCCAGGTGAGGGGCTTTAGTTGAGATTGCGAGACGAGGGGGGCTAGGCTGGCTTCTGGAGTGCCTTAAGAATTGTTAAAATAGCTGTGGGTATGGGTCCATCACAGTGCATCCATCATAGTGGATCATGGGAATGAACAACAATGCATAACCATAAGCCCGTGTGCAACAACACGACATGATCATGTCACCTTCCTTGTACACAACAAACTCACCTCCTGTTCCCCTTCCTTCCACTCCTTCCCCACAAGCCCCACTCTATACTCCCACGCACAAACACCCCTCGTGTTCATCACAGTGCATCATGCGAATGAACAACAATGCATAACCATGTTCTGTGCCCTCCCTTCAATCTGCCTTCTGTTTTCTGTGTGCATGTCACCTTCCTTCAAGCCCACTCCTTCCCCACAACCCCACTCTATACTCTCACGCACAAACACCCCTCGTGTTCCCCTTCCCCCTCTCTCTTCCCATTCCCCCCTCCTCCCCACCCCATCAATCAGGGGAATAAACTCCCTGCACAACCACAAGCCCGAGTCCATCATTTTCTCGCTCGCTACCCCTCCCCGTTCCCCTTCCCCCTCTCTCCTCCCATACCCCCTCATCTCCCCCCCATCCATCCACCAGGAGATTGAACTACCTGCACAACCACAAGCCCTAGTCTATCATTCACCCACAGCAACCCCCCTGCTCTTTCTCCCACCCCCCTCACCCCGCCCTTTCCATCCCTCCCTCCTTTCCACCAGGGGCATGAATTACCTGCACAACCACAAGCCCGAGTCCATCATTCACCGAGACCTCAAACCAAGGTGTGTATGGTCCCGCTATAAGCTGTTTCAACCTCAAGCCAAGCTATGATTAGTCCCCGCTGTAAGCTCTCGACCTCAAAACTAATGCTCGGTCGGCAGGCCAAATTGACCTTCACGTGCTTCTCCGGCTGGAACCAAGCCTGGCGGGCATTCACCGTTCTTTTCCGCCTAGCTTTGTGGAAGTAAAAAAAAAAAAAAAAAAAAAAAAAAAAAAAAAAAAATCCCTTCCCTTTTTGTCCTGGTTACCGCCAGGAACCTGATTCGGGATGAGGGCGATCATCTAAAGGTGGCGGATTTCGGTCTGAGCAAGCTGGTGAAGGTGAATGCGCTGCACGAGATGTACAAGATGACTGGGGAGACCGGCAGCTGTGAGTAGCTTCATTGGGGGGACTGGCAGGCGTGGTGTGGGTACAGGGGCAAGGTGTGAGAGGGTGTGCTGGGGGTAATGGGGCGTCTCAACACTTGGACAGAGCAAGCTGGTGAAGGTGAATGCGCTGCATGAGATGTACAAGATGACTGGGGAGACCGGCAGCTGTGAGTAGCTTCATTGGGGGGACTGGCAGGCGTGGTGTGGGTACAGGGGCAAGGTGTGAGTGGGTGTGCTGGGGGTAATGGGGCGTCTCAACACTTGGACAGAGCAAGCTGGTGAAGGTGAATGCGCTGCATGAGATGTACAAGATGACTGGGGAGACGGGCAGCTGTGAGTACACCTGTGCTGTGCGTGACTGTGTCTGAGAATCTGGTTGAGAGGCAGTGCAGGGCTTGGTCTGAACAGGCTGGTGAAGGTGAATGCGCTGCATGAGATGTACAAGATGACTGGGGAGACGGGCAGCTGTGAGTGCATTGGTGCTGTAGAGTGCATGTGTGCTGTGAAGGAAGGGCGTGTGGTTAAGATGCAGCACCAAGCTCGGTCTGAGCAAGCTGGTGAAGGTGAATGCGCTGCATGAGATGCACAAGATGACTGGGGAGACGGGCAGCTGTGAGTAACTTCGTTGGGAGAACTGGCAGGTGTGGGTACAGGGGCAAGGTGTGAGTGGGTGTGCTGGGGAATCAAGTAATGGTGCGTCACAACACTTGGACAGAGCAAGCTGGTGAAGAAGGTGAACGAGCAAAGTTTGTGACTGGGGAGACTGCAGATGTTTGTGAGTGAATTGGTCGAAGGTGAAGAGCAAAGTTTGCAGTCAGTTCTGCTCCCTCCACCTCCCTCCACCTCCCTCCACCTCCCTCCACCTCCCCAGACCGCTACATGGCGCCAGAGGTGTTCAAGCACCAGGCGTACGACCGCACTGAACGCTCACAACATGCGCTTCTCTCTCCCTCCTTCGTCCTCACTGCTCCATTGCACCTCCTCTCAGACCGCTACATGGCTCCAAAGGTGTTCAAGCACCAGGCGTACGACCGCACTGAGCACACATCATATGCTTTCCTCCCTCCCCACCGCTCTCCACCTCCCCAGACCGCTACATGGCCCCAGAGGTGTTCAAGCACCAGGCATACGACCGCACTGTCGATGTCTACTCCTTCTCTGTCATCTTCTACGAGGTGAGATGAGATGGACGGCTGTGATGGATTGCAAGGTGAGATGGACGGCTCTGATTGCTGCTGGTGTTCAAACACCAGGCATACGACCGCACTGTCGATGTCTGCTCCTTCTCCATCATCTTTTACGAGGTGAGATGCGATGGACGGCTGTGATGGATTGCAATGTGAGATGGATGGCTATGATTGACTGCGAGGCATGCTGTTTGTGCGATTGTCTCGTGAGCAGGTGTGATTAAGAAAAATTCAGCCTGTTGTGGTGCCCCCCCTCCCTCCCTCTCCCTGACTCCCCTTCCCTTTCCCTTGACCCCCCTTCCCTTCTCATTCCACCTTCCTTCCGTTGCCTCCTCTGCCCTCCTCATCCATCTTTCTGATTCCCTCTGCTCTCTCAGATGTTTGAGGGCCTACCGCCCTTTGCCAAGACCATGACGCCAGAGGGGATGGCATGTAATGTTTCTCCACTCTCTCCCACCCCTCTCCTCTCCCCTCTACTCATCCAGATGTTTGAGGGCCTACCGCCCTTTGCCAAGACCATGCACCCAGAGGGGATGGCATGAAACGTGTCTCCACTCTCCCACCCCTCCCATCCTCCCCTCACTCAGATGTTTGAGGGGCTGCCGCCCTTTGCCAAGACCATGACGCCAGAGGGGGTGGCCTGGAAGGTGGCAATGGAGGGCGTCAGGCCGCCCTTCAAGTCCAAGGCATACCCCGAAGGGGTCAAAGAGTGAGTCACCGCGAGTTCTGGGTTTTAGGGTTCTGGGTTCAAGGGTTTGATGTTTCTGGGTGGCGTGGAAGGTGGCAATGGATGGAGGGCATCAGGCCGCCCTTCAAGTCCAAGGCATACCCCGAAGGGGTCAAAGAGTGAGTGATAAAGGACCATTCGAGTGACGTGTTGCTTGGGTGCCGTGACTCCAGGGTTTTCAGGTTCTGGGTCGATGTTTGATTGGCCTCGGTTCAAGGTGGCAATGGAAGGCATCAGGCCGCCCTTCAAATCCAAGGCATACCCCGAGGGGGTCAAAGAGTGAGTCAGAGTGTCAGGTTATTCAGCTGTGTAGGTGCTGTGTCAGGTGTTGAGTCAGGTGCTGTGTCAGGTGCTGTGTAAGATGCTGTGTCAGATATTTTAGGCACCTCAAATTTCGTCTCACTACACACTGAGTCAGATGCTGAGTTAGATGCTGTGCACCCTGGGGTTCAACTTGTAAGGCGCCTCAATTGGCGCCATGATTGCTGAGGTTTTAGGGTTTCGGATTCGTAAGGTCATGTTCTGAAACGTCTCACTGTTAATGGTGGTGAATGGGCTTTAACAGTTGTAAGAAGCGCTCATGGGTTCCCACATCTCTGCTTCCTCTCCCTCCACTGTTGACTCACTCTTTCCCTCTCTCCCTCACTCCAAATCTCCCTCTCTCCCACTCTCTCACCCCTCGCACCAGTTTGATATCCCGCTGTTGGGCGGCAGACCCCATGTCTCGCCCGCCCTTCATGGAAGTGATTGAGGTGCTCGAGGGGGTGGAGAAGGCACTCCTGCTTTCTTCTTCCCCCCGCTTCCCCTGATAGAACCTTCCCCTGATAGAACCTTCCCCTGATAGAACCTTCCCCTGATAGAGCCTCCCCTGCTGGAAGTGATCGAGGTGCTCGAGGGGGTGGAGAAGGCGCTCCTGCTTTCCCACACCTCTGCCTCCCCTCCTTCCCCCTCTCTCCATCTCTCTAGTTTCACCCCCTCTCTCCCGCTTCCCCCCGTTCCATATCACCCCCTCTCCCCCTCTCCCTCTCTCCTGCTTTCCCCCCTTCCATATCACCTCCAGTTTGATATCTCGCTGTTGGGCGGCAGACCCCATGTCTCGTCCGTCCTTCATGGAAGTGATCGAGGTGCTCGAGGGGGTGGAGAAGGCACTCCTGCTTCAGGCACAGACAAACAAGCCCGCCCTCTCTCCCTTCTCAGCTTAGATAACACCTTCCCCTGATAGCGCCTCCCCTGCTGGAAGTGATTGAGGTGCTCGAGGGGGTGGAGAAGGCGCTCCTGATGCAGGCACAGGCAAACAAGCCCGCGCTCTCTCCCTTCTCAGCTTAGATAACACCTTCCCTTGGATTCCACCTTCCCCTGTGAAAGCCTCCCCTGCTGGGAATGGCTGGGAATTCTAGGCTCAAGAGGGCATTATGCAGGATGTTGCACTGCACCTGCACGACTCGATACAGGATGTATTCTGTAGATAAGCCTTCCTCAAGTAGCACCTCCTTCGCTGAGTGTGGCACTGAGGCCTGTGCAGGATGCTGTGGCGTATCTATATATACATCTGTTGACTTTTGAGGCGCCTCAAAGGTGCTGAGATGGCACTTCACCTGTGCAGGATGCTGTGCCGTATCCACCTACGGTACATCTGCTGGCAGCGGCGATTTGCTCTTGTGGTTGAGTGAATCACAGCGACGTGCATCGTTGGCAAGTTGGCACATTCTCGTGATTTACGCACGTGTGTGAACCTTGTGCACTGCACACAGGTTGCTGAAAAAACCCCCAAAACTCAAAGGAGACTTTCATAGCTGGCCCTACCCCATAGTTTTTGCATAAGGCATTGTACTCTACAGGGGTACATCCAATCCAAGTTCCAACTACCGTACCAACGCACACAGTATTGGGACAGAGAGTGCCAGTCTCACAGCCCAGCCCAGCCAGCAATCCTGCTCGGGCCCTCTAGGTGACCACACATACTACGATAGCCACTCTATGCACATGCTGGTTTGTGGGTTGCATTGGGCTTCATCCATCAATATAAGGGGTTTTTCTACACATGACCCACACAGGGGACTCGAGGCAATGGTATTACTAGGTACAGTTTCGCCATTCAAGGTACAATCAAAATGTGTAACAAAAACAGAAATATGTGTAATGAAAACTGATTCAGGAAAATCGGTTGGAGGATGTGTTGTGCTACAGAAAAATGGGCTGAATTTTCCTGCTCCCATGGGCTTTGCTCTGGACAGAATATAATTGCTTTATAAAAACAGACAAAATTTGCAAAAGGCAAAAATGTTACAACATGGGATGATACAAACGTAATCTACAGACAATCACAAGCAACATGGCTATAAAGCATCTAACAGAAACGGAAGGGGTCCTCGTAGCTCACTTCTTTCCGCCCTTGCCACCCTTTCCGCCCTTTCCTCCCTTGCCTCCCTTGCCGCCCTTCCCTCCCTTCCCACCCTTGGCACCTGTTGTATTGATAGCACTGTCTCTCACACTCTGAGTAGTAGCGAAGCTCGAGCTGCCCGCTCCACCCTGATCCCCGCCTGCTCCCTGATCCCCGCCAGCACCCCCTTGATCCCCGCTTGCACCCCCCTGCTGTCCGCCCTGCCCTCCGCCCTGCGGCGGTCCGCCCTGTCCGCCCTGCGGCGGTCCGCCCTGTCCGCCCTGCTGTCCGCCCTGCTGTCCGCCCTGCGGCGGTCCGCCGGGTCCGCCCTGCTGCCCGCCAGGTCCGCCCTGCTGCCCGCGCTGCTGCCCGCCAGGTCCGCCCTGCTGCCCGCCCTGCTGCCCGCCGGGTCCGCCCTGCTGCCCGCCCTGCTGCCCGCCAGGTCCGCCCTGCTGCCCGCCCTGCTGCCCGCCGGGTCCGCCCTGCTGCCCGCCCTGCTGCCCGCCAGGTCCGCCCTGCTGCCCGCCCTGCTGCCCGCCAGGTCCGCCCTGCTGCCCGCCCTGCTGCCCGCCAGGTCCGCCCTGCTGCCCGCCCTGCTGCCCGCCTTGCTGCCCGCCCTGCTGCCCGCCAGGTCCGCCCTGCTGCCCGCCCTGCTGCCCGCCAGGTCCGCCCTGCTGCCCGCCCTGCTGCCCGCCAGGTCCGCCTTGCTGCCCGCCCTGCTGCCCGCCAGGTCCGCCCTGCTGTCCACCCTGCTGCCCGCCCTGCTGTCCGCTTGGTCCGCCCTGCTGTCCGCCCAGCTGTCCGCCCAGCTGTCCGCCCTGCTCTCCGCCCTGCTGTCCGCCAGGTCCGCCCTGCTGTCCGCCCTGCTGTCCGCCCTGCGGCGGTCCGCCCTGTCCGCCCTGCTGGCCGCCTTGCTGGCCGCCCTGCTGGCCGCTCTGCTGTCCGCCCTGCTGTCCGCCAGGTCCGCCCTGCTGTCCGCCGGGTCCGCCCTGCTGGCCTCCGGGTCCGCCCTGCTGCCCGCCGGGTCCGCCCTGCTGCCCGCCGGGTCCGCCCTGCTGCCCGCCGGGTCCGCCCTGCTGCCCGCCGGGTCCGCCCTGCTGGCCGCTCTGCTGTCCGCCCTGCTGTCCGCCAGGTCCGCCCTGCTGTCCGCCGGGTCCGCCCTGCTGGCCCCCGGATCCGCCCTGCTGCCCGCCGGGTCCGCCCTGCTGTCCGCCGGGTCCGCCCTGCTGTCCGCCGGGTCCGCCCTGCTGTCCGCCGGGTCCGCCCTGCTGTCCGCCGGGTCCGCCCTGCTGTCCGCCGGGTCCGCCCTGCTGCCCGCCGGGTCCGCCCTGCTGCCCGCCGGGTCCGCCCTGCTGCCCGCCGGGTCCGCCCTGCTGTCCGCCGGGTCCGCCCTGCTGTCCGCCGGGTCCGCCCTGCTGTCCGCCGGGTCCGCCCTGCTGTCCGCCGGGTCCGCCCTGCTGCCCGCCGGGTCCGCCCTGCTGCCCGCCGGGTTCACCCTGCTGTCCGCCATTGCCGCCGCCCAGGTCTCCGCCACTGCCGCCGCCCAGGTCTCCGCCACTGCCGCCGCCCAGGTCTCCGCCACTGCCGCCGCCCAGGTCTCCGCCACTGCCGCCGCCCAGGTCTCCGCCACTGCCGCCGCCCAGGTCTCCGCCACTGCCGCCGCCCAGGTCTCCGCCACTGCCGCCGCCCAGGTCTCCGCCACTGCCGCCGCCCAGGTCTCCGCCACTGCCGCCGCCCAGGTCTCCGCCACTGCCGCCGCCCAGGTCTCCGCCACTGCCGCCGCCCAGGTCTCCGCCACTGCCGCCGCCCAGGTCTCCGCCACTGCCGCCGCCCAGGTCTCCGCCACTGCCGCCGCCCAAATTATCAACAGCCATGAAGACTGGTTTGGTTGTTGTTGCCTTTAGGAGTGAGAGGGTTTTGAGAACGAGACTGCGGCGCGGAGCGAGGGACCTCGCGGATCCTGCGCAAATGGAAAATATACGTTAATATGTAGGCAGAGAACTGGGTGGAAGAGGAAAAGCGATAATGCATGACAAGAGCGCAGTGGATAATAGAAGCACGAAGTGGAATAGTGGAGGAGAACCCATGTGGAATTTATTATGACAGAAAGTCAGGAAGACAGAAACTTTCTGTGCAGGACAGAAAGTTGTGCACCGAAGTGGGACACTCACCCGGCGCTACGAATATCGACACCGCTGTAAGTGCTAGCAGAAGAAGAGGCAACGCCGTGCCTCGCATTTTGCCGCCCATTGTAGGAATGATGCTCTCCGATTCCAGACACTTACTAGGCAGGGACGAGCTACAAAACCAGAGAATTTGCTCGAGTGACAAAGAGCTTGAATTTCGGGAAGTGCTGGAAATGCAAGTGAAATGTCACGAAAGCGGTGAGGAGGATGAAAATGTGGGTGACGGGTGCGCATTTTTATAGTGTGGTTGTACGCGACTCGAAAGCATTTCTACCTTGATGGGATGAAAGGATGCAATATGGTTTTGGCGGGAATCATGTTTTTCCCGCCAGGTCAAATCAGCGACATGCGCGTCTAGCTCAGGTTTCGCAGGCGCATTTCACGACAGGGAGATTGGACAAAAAATATTTGCGATGTGTTACAATCTCAACCTGCGACGCCAGAATGACTCGCAAATGCGCTTCCGACTGTTCCGCCGTGCTGCTTGCTCACCCCACAGGGCTTGAAAGTACCTGCGCTATCGTTGAAGCCCGTTGACCGCTTCACTTTGTTGAAACCAGGGCATGTGAAAGCGGTTGACGCGGCAGGCCCGCGAAATGCGCAAGTGCAACAGCATGTTCTGAACGTGAAACGCGTATCTCCCATTGACAATGGAAATCACATGATACACTTGAAGCCCTTACCCTAGTTTTCTCATAACAAAGCAATCAAATTTGCCATGTTGAGTGTAGCACCGAGTATACAGAATGTTTGTTATAAAATGAGCCGAAAGTATGAAATTGACTCCCAGTTTCTTTGCGGAAACATCGACAATATCTGTTTGTTCAAGCTATCCCGCAGGGAGGGACAATGTGCTCCAAAAACATTTGGTGTGGCATGGCATGCATACTCAACCATGAGCACATCACATCTTACATACGACTTTGTAATCATGTGGCATCAAGTTTTCAATCAGACATGACGCAATATAGCTGAACGCTCTGATTTTCGCGGAAGTATTTGAAGGTCCTGCTAGGGCCACCTCGACGGGTCTTGGAGCGGAGGAGTTTGCGGCACCACAGGGCCTCCTACTAAAGGGTGATCGACTTGGTTGCGGGATCCCGTAAATTGAAGGGGATCAATGAAGGTCTAAAAAATCCAAGGTGATCGATGGATCACCATGGGTCGCCTAGATCCATGGATCACCAAGGCTTGGCTTCGAGGGAGATGTAGCTCGCCTTTGGTCATGGCGATCAAAACCGAGTTGCACCACATCGTTAATGCGGATGAAGCAAACTCTAAGCCCATACCAAGTATAATAAAGAGAATATGGGCAGAAATTGCTTCAAGCAGGCAAAGAAGTTCTACAACGAGGGATCCTAGAACCACCCTCCCCTCCTCTTTTCCACACGGCCTAGTATAGCCTAGTATCATACAAGGTTTAGTCTCGCCTAGTGGCTTTCAAACGCCACAGTGCAATTAAGCGTAATGAACACCTGAAGGGGCACCAGCAGCTCTTTTCACTTCTTTCCATCCTTCCCACCCTTTCCCCCATTTCCACCCTTGCCGCCCTTTCCCCCCTTTCCGCCCTTTCCCCCCTTTCCCCCCTTACCTCCCTTTCCCCCCTTCCCCCCATTGCCACCCACATTGATCTTTGAGCTTGTAACGCTACCTACAATCTGAGGAGTAGCGATCCCGCCAGATTCCTCCTGCTCCCAGCCAGCACCCCCCTGATCCCCGCCAGATCCCCCCTGATCCCGGCCAGATTCCCCCTGATCCCCGCCAGATCCCCCCTGATCCCCGCCAGATCCCCCCTGATCTCCGCCAGATCCCCCCTGATCCCCTCCATCACCCCCCTGCCCCCCGGCAACACCCCCCTGCTGTCCGCCAGCATCCCCCTTCTCCCCGCCGGGTTGCTCTCCGCCAAGACCCCCCTGCTTTCCGCCAGGTCCGCCCTGCTGTCCGCCGGCTCCCGCTTGTTCCCCTCCAGGACCGCTCTGATCTCCTCCAGGACCGCCCGAACCTCCGCCGGGATCGCCTAATTCTCCGCCGGGACCACCTGATTCTCCGCCATGACCGCCTAGTTCTCCGCCAGCATCACCGCCTGTGCCTCCGAGTCCGCCCAAATGTGCGCCATCGTCGCGACTCAAATTATCAGCAGCCAGAAGAATCGATTTGCTTGGTGCTACATTTAGGAACGAGTGGATTCTCAGATTGAGGCCGCGGCTTAGAGCGATGCTCCTCGCAGATGCTGCGCAGATGAAGACACGTCGATTGGATCCCGCCATCATATTGGATCCGTCGATTTGGATTAATACAAACAGTCGGGCGGAACGGAGGCCAGTCGAGAATGCATGGAAGAGCGCGGAAGACATACGAGGGGCAAACAAGAGTAACGAAGTACATTGATAGAGGAAGAAAGGAGAAACGAGATGAGAAGTAAATCTGAGCAGAGGCCAAAGTTGGGCATGTGAAGGACTCACCAGGCGCTATAAACGCCGACGCCGCGAAAAGCGTCAGCAGAAGTAGAGGTAATCTGATGCCTCGCGGCATTTTCCAGCCCATCGTGGCGGAAAGATGACCTTCGCTTGCCCGGACTTACATGAGTTAGAGAAATATATAAATAAAACGGAGATGATGAGTGACGACAGCTCTAGGGCGAGTATAGCGCATATGTTTACAGTTCATACGCCGTCGTTGCGCAAGACGATGACGGTGCACAGCGGTTATCACGCTTCACCGTTTTCGATCGTCACGAAACAAGATTAACCGCACAGAGCGAACATGGGACGAACGCGCCGGACACGATCTAAACGTGAGTATAGGCTCCAGTGACGGGAAGGTACGAAATGCGAGTGATGGAATGTCTGGAACGGGGTGAGGGGGAACGGGGTGACTTACTCACTGATGGGTGCGTTTTTCTTGTGGGTGGTGGTGCGAACGCGGCTCGAAAGCGATAATGTCGTGGTGGGAGGAGAGAGGGAGAGGAGAGGATGGAATGCAATGTGATACAATTGGTCTCGCTGGAATATATTTTCGCGCCAGGTCAAATCCGCAGGTTGCGCTCAGCTGATGTTTCGCAGGAGATTTTGCGACAGGGGAACTGGACAGTGTCATTTGAACGACGGGTAACATTGCTACGCAAAACCTGCGATTTGGGTTATGGAAAAGCGATGGATGAGGGAGGCAGCCCGCAAAACGCGCAACTGGGTACCAGCGAATTACATGCGATAATGAAGCATCCGATTTAATGATTAAACGCACCTACGGATATTTTCCACCTTCGGAAAAGTAGAGCTCATATGGATATTTTCCATGAGTTAAAATGTTTTATTGGTGGAGCAGGCGTTAAGCTTGGTGAATCATAATTGTAGCACAGTTCGGCTGAGACTATGCTTCACAACAAAAATCACAAAACAAGCACAAAACCTAAACATGGAAAATCTTCACCACTTCTCGGATGGGAGCTCGGCACACAGGGCAGCCCCAGCCCTTGGATCTAACCTCACTGAGACACTCAACACACCCCGCCACATGCCCACAGGGCACACACACTGCCTGCGCTGCTGAGTCCCAGCAAATCACACACTGACCCTCTCTAGACGCCCCTCCTGCTGTTGATGATGCTGGTGCCCCTCCGGTTGCTGCTACTCCCGCCTCTGCCCCTGCCTCTGGCCCTGCCTCTGCTCCTGCTCCTGCACCTGCTCCTGCTCCTGCTCCTGCTCCTGCTCCTGCACCTGCTCCTGCTCCTGCTCCTGTTCCTGTTCCTGCTCCTGCTCCTGCTCCTGCGCCTGTTCCTCTCCCTGTTCCTGCTGCACCTCCACTAGCTACAGCTGCACCTGCTGCTCCTCGCCCTAGGCTCGCCTGTGCCCTGGCAAGTTCTGCCTGCACCCTTTCAGGGTTGTAGCTCGGATGTAGCTCCGCTACAGATGCCGCACCTGGCGAAGGAAGGCTGGCAGGATAAGCCACAGACGCTGCTGCTGCGGATGGGACGTTAGCAGGCGTATGGGTATGGAAGTCGGGAGGCTGAGCCTGCGGGTGGATGTGAGGGTTAGGGTTTCGCCTGGGGCTGCTGGGAGGGGAGAACTGGATGAGAGGAGGGTCGAAGAAGGAAGCACGGTGGCCGGTGGTTCGCTGCCATGCCGTCGCGGCTGCAGCGGCTGTTGCTGACGTGAGAGCCCCCGCTGCTGTTGCAATTGCCTCAGCAGCCACTGCTGCTCTAGCATTGAAAGCTGGAGCTGCTCCTGCTGGTGCTGGTGATACTGATGCTGCTGCTGGTGCTGCTGCTGCTGCTGAAGCTGGCTGGCCTGTCACGGCTGCTCCTGGCACTCTCCCTGCTCCCACTGATGCCCCTGCTGTGGAAGCAGGACCATCCACAGGGGGTGCTGATGGTGGGCCGGAAGCAAAGAGCGACGACACGGCTGCTGCTGCTCGGTTGAACGCCGGTGCCACAGATGAGAACTGATTCGCTATCTCGTCGCGCATTCTACCCCCTTCCACCCCTGCTGCAGCAGCAGTGCCTGCTGTACCTGCTGTACCTGCTGTGCCAGCTGAGCCAGCTGCTGGGCCAGCAGCAACGCCAGAAGAAGCGCCGGCAGCAGCAGAGGAAGAGGGGATGGGGGAAGCAGGTGGGGCAAACGGGTGCCGGTCAGCAGAGGCTGAAACGGACCTCGAGGAGCGATGGGAAGCAGTGAATGCATCGGTGGCAGCAGCACCAACACCAGCAGCAGAAGAGGAAGATGAGGAGAGGGAGCGTCCGGATCTGGACTGAGGCTCGGAGGAGGAGCGGGTGAGAATAAACCCGTCTGCTCCTTCCTCCCCTCTGCTCATGCCCTGAGCAGCAGCCGCAGCAGCAGCAGCAGCAGCGGTTCCAGAAGCACCAGGGGCATCGGCTCGGGCAGAGCTGGCAGTGCTGGCAGTTTGCATCGACTCAGAGAGCGCCAGCTGGAACGCCGTGTCCTCGTCCACGTCATCCTGCCACGCGTGCACGTTCACCACGCCCCTGGAGTCAGATGATCCTGACGCCATCCCTCCTGCTCCCGCTGCTGCTCCTGAACACCCCCCTTGCTGCTGCTGCTGCTGCTGCTGCTGCTGCTGCTGCTGCTGCTGCTGCTGCTGCTGCTGCTGCTGCTGCCATGCCTGCTGCTGCTGCTGATACTGCTGCCATGCCTGCTGCTGCTGCTGTGCCTGCTGCTGTGTGTAATAGGCCGCAGCATACGCATCATAAGCAGCAGCAGCAGCAGCAGGAGCAGCAAAAGGGGAAACAGGAGGAGCGGCAGGAGGTTGGGGGTACATGGTGGGGTGCACCTGTGGTGGGGGCGGTTGGTGAATGGAGGAGGGGGCAGTGTGAGATCGAGATGCTGGGAGCTGGGTTGCTGGTGTCCGTGATTGTGCCACATGCTGAGGTGTCGGATGCTGATTGGCTGACTGGGTGCGAGCCTGCAGAGGGTAGAGAGGAGAGTAAGTGAGGATGGTAGTGTGTGAGAATGGGAGTGTGGGAGGATGAAACGTTATTGTAGCTAATGCGAGGGCGATAATTCGTAAGACTCATAGATGTTGGATTTGAGTCGCGTCACGGATTGGTTACTCGACGAATTAATTAATCAGTTCAAAGGTGGAAGTGTGAGAGAGGTGAAAGAGAAAGTGCACGTGCATGTGAATGTGCTGTGCACGTGCTTGTGTTACTGCTGTGTGCGTGCTAATCCTGTGCACGAAATCATGTGTGCACATCTCCCGTCTGAGAGGAAAAAGAGATCTGAAAGGGGGGAGAGAAGTCACTCATGGCATTCCCCGACAAGCGTCGTGCAGTGCAGGCGCCGAGGAGGCGTGAGAGATGAGGGAAGAGTGAGAGGGGAAAGAACAGTCACCCGTGGTGTTCCCGGCAGGCGTCGTGCAGGCGGAATATCTTAGATGGGTCGGGTGAACCTTTGAGTCGACTCAAAAGTCACCTAGAGGGTGAGAGGAGAGAAAAGAGAGGGCGGAAAGAGAAATCACCCGTGGCGTTCCCCGGCACGCGTCGTGAAGGAAGCATGAGAAAGGAGAGAAACGAGAAAGGGGAGGGAGGGAGGAGTCACCCGTGGCGTTTCCCGGCACGCGTCGTGCAGGCGGAATATCTGCGAGGGGTCGGGTGAACTCTTGAGTCGACTCAAAATCACATAGAGAGTGCGAGGAGAGAAAAGAGAGAAGGGAGGGAGAAGTCACCCACCCGTGGTGTTCCCCGGCAGGCGTCGTGCAGGCGGAATATCTGCGAGGGGTCGGGTGAACTCTTGAGTACACTCGAAAGTCGCCTAGATAGAGAGTGAGAGATGAGGGAAGAGTAAGGGGAAATAGAGGTTACCCGTGGTGTTCCTCGGCACGCGTCGTGCAGGCGGAATATCTGAGAGGGGTCGGGTGAATCCTTGTCGCTCACAAACTTCCACTTGCCCTTCTCCGCTGCCATGGGGGGCATGGAGGGATGCATGCAGGGATGCATGGAGGTATGCATTGGGGGATGCATGGAGGGATGGATGGAGGGATGCATGGAGGGACGCATGGAGGGACGCATGAGGGCATGCACACACATATGGGAGGGGTCGGGTGAATCCTTGTCGCTCACAAACTTCCACTTGCCCTTCTCCGCTGGAGTGGAGGGACGCATGGAGGGATGCATGCAGGGATGCATGGATGGATGGATGGAGGGATGCATGGAGGGATGCATGGAGGGATGGATGGAGGGATGCATGGAGGGATGCATGCAGGGATGCATGGAGGGATGGATGGAGGGATGCATGGCGGCATGCACACACACATGGGCGGGGTCGGGTGAATCCTTGTCACATGCACACATCCATGCAGGCATGCAGTCACACGCACATGCATGAGTGAACAATTCACATCCCACATGTGGACATGCGGGATTGGACACTTGAATGCATGTGAACGCATGCAAACACACTTGGGCACATGCATGCATGTACATGTGCGTGAACATGCAGGCAGATGGGCACACCAATGCGCACATGAGATGCACATGAGATGGATGAACGTGTATGGATGGAGAGACATAGGCATAGAGTGCAACACACACACAGCACACATCACACAGAGAAGAAATATGGGAAGTTATGAGACGTCTCAAAACTCAGACACACAGAGCAAAGGTAGTCCATTAGCAACACAGCAATGAAAGATGAGAACTCAGTGCCAGGTCTCCCCTCAGAAAAAATAAAAAGGATCACAAATAAGCCATACGACGGGAATGAAGAATCACATAGGGTGATGGATAGAGTAAACTGAAAGAAGTAGAATGGGAAGAGCAGGTGTCACACCATGAACGGGGTCCTCTATAACGAGTACAGGGTTGGCAGAGTCCAGCTTGGTCATGTGAATGCGGCACACATGCAGTGCTATGTCGAAATAGGGAGCTCCAAACTGCAGTGGGTCGGGGGGTTGGGGGGGGGGGGGACAGGGGGGCTCTTGTCGAGGAGGAAACACACGTGCAGTGCTGTGCTGGGTAGAAGTAAGGCGCGTTCTGAGGCGCCTAAAAAAAAGTCGTTTTGAGGTGCCTAAAAAAAAGGTCGTTCTGAGGCGCCTAAAAAAAAAATCGTTTTGAGGCGCCTAAAAAAAAAGTCGTTTTGAGGCGCCTAAAAAAAAAGTCGTTCTGAGGCGCCTCAAAAGTTGAGGAGGAAACACACGTGCAGTGCTGGGTAGAAGTGAGGCGCGCCAAGCTGCAATGGGTTGTGGGGGGTTGGAGGAAGGGTGACGGGAAGCAGATGGGTTGTAGAGAACATAGTTGGGCTGTGATCGTGGGTGGAGGATGGTGGAATCTGCATGGTTGCTCCTTGCGGTGCCTCAAAATGCACTCTTGGACGCATGCACACATGTATATGCACACATGCATATGCACACATGCATATGCTCACATGCATATGCACACATGCACATGCACACATGCACATGCACACATGCACACATGCACACATGCAAATGCACACATGCACATGCACACATGCAAATGCACACATGCACATGCACACATACAAGAACAGGCATGGACTTACAACCACTCACCATCGGCATGCATGCACGAGGGCACTCACAGCCATGGACGGATAAAGAGCGAGGCGGAATGTCTGGCGTCCGTCACTCATGGCGGGCCCTGGAAGCACTGCCACCCAGCTGCAGAGGCATGGGTGGAGAGCGGTGGAGAGGGGTGGGGAGGGGTGGAAAGGTGAGGTGATACCAGAGGCAGAGGGGGGCAGAAAAACAGTGGCGTGGCCACTGGAAGTGCAATTCCGCGTACGACTCCCCTATGAACCCATCGAAAGCAGAGAGGCAAAGAAATCTAAAAAAAAAAAACCAACACCCATCGAAAGAAGCACTGGATGCCAACTTACATTCTCCGGTACACCCATTGCGGGATAAAGGCTTTGACTAGCGACGGCGCTGAAAGGGTCTGCTGGCGTACATAGCCCTCAAACAATGCCACCCGGCTCTGATGGGGGTGGGGAGGGGTGTGGGGGGGGCCGAGTGGGGAGGGGCGGGGGGGTGTGAAGAGGGAGACAGCCAGGAGCACAGTGTCAACGGTGCTGAGAGGGTTTGCTGTCGGACATAGCCCTCGAACAACGCCACTAGGATCTGATGCATATACCTGTGCACTGGCATGGGGATTTAGCTCAGATGGTAGAGCGCTCGCTTAGCATGCGAGAGGTATGGGGATCGATACCCCACTTCTCCAATTAAGTTTTGGTCTCTCTGCAGTGGCGCCCCACTTCTCCAATTAAGTTTTGGTCTCTCTGCAGTGGCGCCCCACTTCTCCAATTAAGTTTTGGTCTCTCTGCAGTGGCGTGTCTCTCTCTCGCCAGGTCCAAAGTGGTCTTGCCCTTGTCTCACACACCCAGACACACACACCTACACGACCCCACCCTTTTCCCCACAGACAGGCAAGCAATTCGCACATCTATGAGTCGGACGACAGCACTGGCGTTTCTCTCCCTGGCCAGATCCAAAGCGGACCTTCCATCGCCCCTGACACACATGCACACACGCGACTCGCCCCTCACACACCGGCTCCCCCCCTCACCTCTATGAGTCGGACGACAGCAGTGGCGTTTCTCTCCCTGGCCAGATCCAAAGCGGACCTTCCAAAGCTTGTCGTTAGGGAGCAAGCCGTTTTACTCCACTCCACACCTCCCTCGCACTGCCAACCACCTCACCTCGATAAGTCTAACGACAGCAGTGGCGTTTCTCTCTCTGGCCAGGTCCAGAGCGTTCTTGCGTTCGTCGTTGGGGAGAAGGGGGTCCGCTGCAACAGGGACAGGCAGGGAGGGGGGGACAAGGAAGAAAGGGGGAGAACAGTGGAGAATGGGGGAGAACAGGGGATAATGGGGGAGAACAGGGGGAGAATGGGGGAGAACAGGGGGAGAATGGGGGAGAACAGGGGGAGAATGGGGGAGAACAGGGGGAGAATGGGGGAGAACAAAGAAGGGCCGGGGTATTTTTTAACGGCTGTAATCCCAGCTCCATGCTCCAGCAGTAACTGCACTACCGCACCACACAGCTTCTTCTACTGTGAACAAACTCGAGGTTACGAATTCGTGGTAACCACCACATGGTTACCAGCTCACCTCCATGGTCCAGCTGCAGTGTCACTGAGGCATCGATCGTAACATATCGCAGCGACAAACATGTGGTTACAAACGCATGGTTACCACATGGTTACAAACTCACCTCCATGGTCCAGCAGCAGCTTCACTGTGGCGTCGAGCTGCTTGCGAGCGGCATGGTGAATGGCTGTGCCCCCTCCCGGACCTTTGCAGTAGGCGTGTACATGGGCGCCCATCTGCATCAGCAGCTTCGCAGCTTCATAGCCCTCCGCCCGGCTGCTGGCGAGAATCAAGGGCGTGCGACCCTTGGAATCCACGCACTGGGTGGGGGAACAAGGAAGGGGGAGGGTGGGGGGGGACGCAAGCTGAAAGCATCTGAATTCGCCCATTTAAAAAAGCAGCTTCGCAGCTTCATAGCCCTCCGCCCAGCTGCTGGCAAGAATCAAGGGCGTGCGACCCTTGGAATCCACACACTGGTAGGATGAGGAGGGATGAGGGGGGATGAAGGGGGACGGGAAGCACAAAGCATTTGAATTCCCCCATCTGCATCAGCAGCTTCGCAGCTTCATAGCCCTCTGCCCAGCTGCTGGCGAGAAACAAGGGCGTGCGACCTTTGAAGTCCACGCACTGGTTGGGGGAATGCTGGGGGACGAGGGGGGATAGAGAAGACGAGGGGGGCGAGGGGGACGAGGGAGAGGGAGGCACGAAGAATATAAGCAACAGCTTTGCAGCTTCATACCCCTCCTCCCGGCTGCTGGCGAGGATCAACGGCAAATGAATCCACACACTGGGTGGGGGGATAAAGGGGGGACGAGAGGGAATGAGGGGGAAATGAGGGGAGATGGCGGCTAAGAGGGACGAGGGGAAATGATGGGCTAGGGAGGCGAGATGCACATAACATATTATCCTTCAAAATTTTATCCCCTAATGGATCACACCTCATTCACAAAAAAAATGTAACAGGTTTCTGTGTAACACACGCCAGAAGGAGCTGGAAACTTGGATGCTAGATTCAAATCAGCCTCACATTGACGTCAACAGGCATCAGTATGAAATAACAACCTCTAACAGAGCGTTCCAGGTGAATTTTTCATGAATGCATCACATTCTTTTGTATTGAGACAAAGATGAATTTAATAACGATAAATCTCACATTGACGCTTATTCCACGTGAAACCAGCTCTCGGATGCCTGACGTGTCGCCGTGCTTCGCGGCGTGACGTATCAGCTCCTCTCTCGATCCACTCTGACCCATACTTCCACGCAAATTGAAGACTAGCAGGCTACCCCTTTCTCTGATACAGTGTTGGACAATATAACTCTCTTTGAAACAGAAAGAACTCGAGCTACAGATACAAGAGACTAAGCGTTTAATCTGCGCGAAGCAAGCGTAGCTTGAAAGCAGAAAAGGCGTTTTAGCTGATAGCTCACGTCGCATTAACGACTCATGTAACGATGAAGATTGAGATGACCACGGAACACGCGAATTCGCGAAAGCGTGGAATCGATCTCAGAGCTACTTTTACCAGTACGGCCACGAATGTGGATAAGGATTGCGAAGAGGAAGGATGAGACGGGATGTGACGGACTAAAATCTATTTTCGAGCCATCATATTCTGGACTCAAAATAGTGGGCAAGCTGACTATTTTCAGTGCATGTGAGGGCTGACCCAAAATAGTGGGCAAGCTGACTATTTCTAGGAAGCAGCTCCCAATGCAGTCGCTCGTGGTTGACGTGTGGCTGGGAAACACAGCGACTTGTGTGCATTCTCGATGGGAAGAGCTTTTTGTCGACACAAAGGTGCATTTCTGAGTGAACTTTGCACCTGCGCTCCTGTCCTTCACTTGTTCACGCCCTCAAGGAGTTGTCAGGGATGGTTTCAATGCGGTTTGAGAGGAAATGTATACGATGCAGAGTTGTTCACACACAGGTACGTGTTGAGCGAAAGTGGACGAGTATGACACGCGCTCTGCGTGTGATGTGAACCCTAGTGTCACGAAAACCTAGAGGCCCTAGTCACATGCAACTGTACTCAACTTATTTGTTTCTGGAAGTCACCTTATCTCCTCGTGGTTCAAAATGGATCAGTCTCTATCGTTACAAAACCGTTATCCTACAACGGGTTTTAGCGCGGGGTTGTATGGTCTAGACAGATATATCAGGGTTGCAGTCCGGTGAGATGTCGAAGCTGCACTCCTCGAGATTACCACGAATTGGTCGTACTTTTTGAGGGCGGAAATCAGTGTCCCTCGTGATAGGCTTCAAACGGAGTTAGAGTCGTTACTGCAAGTTGTGCAAAGATAACCGTGGTTTCAGTGCGGTGACTGAATGATGCGGATTATCACACCTGTGGGTGCCATCGCAACACAACACAAGCAAAGCAAACCACTCGTTTTGCAATAGCCTTGACAACCACACATGTTAGGGGGACTTGTAAAACAGAGTAGCTCTGACTACTGGAGGGCTGGAAACTTGGCTGGAAAGTCTTAGCAGGGCTGCTGGAATTGACTGGATGAGGTAAAACTTCACTATGTTCAAGATTAACAAGCCCACTAAAGCACAACTCTAGGCATCACAAACAAGACAGATTGAAAGCTCAAACTAGGCTGATAGACAATGTAACTTCCCTGGTAACTTGGGCACAATCTAGATTGGATGGACCTTGAGTGACTTTGAGTGCCACATGAGGTGCATGAATAAGAAAACTCTGGATATTTCTGTTATAGCTGATTCTGATGTGTAGAAACCTGTAGAAACTGCCAACACTTCGGTTTGAAGGCAGCTTTGAACTATATCGAGTCTTCGGCTGAAATCTGATTGGTGGTGGAACTTTCGAAGTACTTCCCGAAGCTCTGATTCATCGCCGACATTCCCCCTTGCTGCTGCTTGTGTGCAAAGGGCTGGGGCGGCAGAAACTCGATTCTCCAACACTCCCCCTCGCACCAGACCCGAAGCACACATACACCCATGCTGATGCTCCTTTCACATCTCCTTAGCATACACTTCATGCTGCTGCCCACGTCTCTTCCCCTCACACTCCTCATTCTCCTCAAACTGCTCCACTGCTTCATGAAGTGTCATGAGGCCTGCTCTTGCCTTGCACATGTTGAATGCATCATGTGGAAGAACCTTGGTCATGAAATCTGCTGCTTGATCGAATGAACGGCAAAAGTTGACGGCGAGAACTCCCTTCTCTAGTTGCTCACGAATGAAGTGGTACTGCACCTCGATGTGTTTTGTACGCCCATGATGAACCGGGTTCTTGGAAAGAGCTACGGCTGAAGTGTTGTCCACGTAGAGCGGAGTTGGTTGAGTTTGCGGCTGCCTCAATTCCTCCAAGAGTCCACGTAACCAGATTGCCTCCCTTGCTCCTTCGGTCATTGCCATGTACTCAGCTTCGGTTGTTGAAAGTGCCACACAACTTTGCTTGCGCGATTGCCAAGAAACAGCGGCACCACACATGAGGAAGATGTAGCCGCCGGTAGACTTGCGTGTGCTCAATTCTCCCGCCCAATCTGCATCGGTAAAGCCTTGGAGGGAGCTTGCATATGGGCTGGCTTGGAAGAGAAGACCATGATTAGAAGTACCTTTGAGATACCGAAGAGCTCGCTTGGCTGCATGCATATGAATAGGTGAAGGGGCACTCATGTGTTGAGCTAGCTTAGATACCGTGAATGCTAAGTCGGGCCTTGTGCATAGGGTTGCATACATGAGACACCCAACCTGACTTTGGTACAGAGCTAGGTCTTGTGGGGATACCTTAAGTGAATTCTCACCATGATGCTCACTCTCCTCAAGACACAACTCTTTAATACCTATGATATCAAGGCTTGACTCTCTCTCTTCATAGGGCTGATGTGAAGACAAAGGGACAAATTTGGAAGGAAGTGGGGTATGTGATGGCTTGCTATCATCAAGACCAAACCTCTCAAGGACCTTTTGGATGTACCTTTGCTGGAATAGGAAGATGGACCGTGACTTACGATCTCTCACAATGTTCATACCAAGATAATGACTCGGCTCACCAAGATCGGTCATCGTGAATGCACTCGTGAGAATACCTTTCACCTTGTTGAGAAGATCAAGAGAACCTGAGACTAAGAGGAGGTCATCGACATATACCAAGAGCCAAATGTACTCCCCCTCACTCGTGTGCATGAAGTACAGAGCGTTGTCTCTCATGGACCTTGTGAAACCATGCTTGAAAAGTACCTGCTCAAGAGCATGATACCAAACCCGTGGGGACTGTTTGAGACCATAAAGGGACTTTACCAAGCGACACACTCGACCCGTACCGTCATCATAACCTTCGGGTTGTGCCATGTATACCTCTTCTTCCAAGACACCGTAGAGAAATGCGTTCTTGACATCCATTTGATGGATATGGAGACCAAGATATGCGGCTATGGCGAGGAGGACTCGTACCGTGGTGTACTTTGCTACCACGGCAAAGGTTTCGGTGAAGTCAAGACCTGGAATTTGGGAATAACCTTTTGCCACTAACCTTGCCTTGTACCTATCGAGGCTACCATCACCTTTTACCTTGATCTTGTACACCCATTTGACACCAATTACCTTCTTCCCTGGAGGTGGCTCAACAAGACGCCATGTACCTCGCTTCATGAGACTCTCAATCTCCTCTTCCTCGGCTTTCAACCAATGCTCTCTTTCGGGACTTGCCATTGCCTCACGACGACTCAAGGGCTCTCGCGGAAGGTGTGATGCTGCCATGCATATTGCCTCTACCTTCTTGTGAATGCAATTCTCACTCTCCTCACATGTGCACCTTGATGACATGTCAACCATGAAATTGAAGGGCTTTTTTACCTTGCGGACTCGTTTACCTTTACCAAACTCCTCAGTTGGCTGAGACACATTAGTGGTAGGGTTCGGTCTCACAGTGTTTGATTGCGTTGATGCGGTCATTTGCGGCTGAGACAACGGCTGCGACATCGGCTGCGACGGCGGCACGGCTGCTTGTTCTTCTCCTGGCGTGGAAATATCTTGATTATCGGTGTTGACTTGAGGATTAGGTATGGTGACTCGTGGCGGTGAAGCTGAAACGTTTGTCGACATAGTTGGTTGTGAAGATGCTCTTGGTGGGGATCTTGAGACTAGAAGCTTGGGAATTGATGATGACGCTGCCTTGTCGAGAGGTGGTGATGGTTGGGGCTGGTTGGTGTTGTTGCTCGTTGTTGAAGATGGTGGTAACTGATGAGGACCGAATCCGGGACGTGGGGGTGAAGTTGAGAAAGGTCTTGGGTGAAGAAGTGGACTGTTGGAGTTGGTGTTGGTGGTGACTCGCTGAAGTGATCCTCGTGCTATGAGCTGGCTTGACGTTGGAACAAGTGATGAACGTGTGGTATGAGAACGAGGTGTTGCGGTGACGGTTGACTTGTTGCTAGGAAGAGTCATAAGAGGGGGTTGATGTAGGTACTTGGGGTCTTGTAGCTGTTGATTGCTGCTGCATGGGATGATGATGAGCTTCTGTAGTTGCCTCTGGAGTGATGGCTGGTGATGGGTTTGATGGCGTAGTGGTGGGCTGATCCGGTTGGCGTTGAAATTGTGAGGTTGGTGTTGATATAGCTGGCTGGTTTGTGACTGTTGGCTGCTGCTCCTTTGGTGGTGATGGAACGGTGACTTGCTGCGGTGGATTGTCTTCATTTGATGGCTGAACTTCATCTCCACTTGGTTGAGTAGCTGCTGGTGGCACTGGCGTGGCACGGTTGGACTCGTTGACGACGGCTTGAGGGAGATCGATGATCGGTCCGCTATGGTCAGAATCGGTGTCATCTTCTTCCTCCTCTTGTGTTGTTTCCTCAGGTGCGCTTGCTGGTTCCTGTTGGATAGAGGGTAGAGAGGAGGAAGAGGAAAACTTCTGCCAACCTGCAAGGGACATGTCTTCATAGAAGACAACATCCCTTGAAACCACTTCTCGCTTGGTGACAGGATCCCAAAGGACCCATCCCTTGCTCTCATTGCTCATGCCGATGAAGAGGCCCCAATGAGCTTTGCTGTCCAGCTTGAGTCTCTTTGCATCTGGAACACGGTATTGGGCCATGGAACCAAAAACACGAAGCATAGACAGATCTGGTTTAACTCCAAACCAAGCCTCATATGGCGTTACACCTTCCGGTAAGGGCCTTGTGGGTCTCCTGTTGCGAACATAAATTGCCATAGTGATTGCCTCACCCCACCAGAGCTTGTCAAGGCCTTTGAACTGAAGGAAAGTGGTAGCTATAGCCTGGATAGTGCGATGAAACCTCTCTGCCACTCCATTTTGCTGAGGACTATAGGGACAAGTGAACTGTTGTTTGATGCCCAATGCCAACAACTCCCCCTGAAACGCTTTCCCCATGTACTCACCTCCTCGATCCGACCTCAAGGTGAGTAACTTCTTCCCTGAATCTCTCTCAACAAGTGCTAGCCATTGCTTGAAACACTTGTGAACTTCATCCTTGGTGTTGATGAAAAAGGACCACGAGAAACGACTCTTGTCATCAATGAAAGACACCAAATATCTCTTACCGTTTCGAGTAGGGTCTCGCATGGGGCCGAAGACATCAGTGTGGACCAACTCTAGGAGGTCCCTTGACTGAGACTTAGAAGGGAAGAATGGCTTTCTAGCTAGTTTACCTTCCACACAAGATGGACATGGAACGGAAGAAAGGGACTTGACTGCACTTTCATTCAAACTCAATCCTTCCACGCTCTTGTGATTTACCAACTCTTTCAATGCTTGCACTCCCACGTGCCCCAAGCGTGCATGCCATACCTCAGCTTGGGAGATACTCCCTTTGTTGTTGACTTGATCGGTTGAAACAGCGGGAAGCGAGACAACGTCGTTCTTCGTGTTGCTAGCACCGCGCTTAATCTCCAACTTCATCTTGTAGAGCCGCCCGGTACGCTCGCCTTCAGCCACCAGATTTCCTGCACGGTCCCACACTTTGGCTTTCCCCCCTTGCAAGAGAACGGAGGCACCTTTCTCTTCGAGTTGTCCGGCTGAGAGCAAGTTTGCTCCCAAATCAGGAACAAACAAAGCTTTATTGACACAAAATGACTTACCATCCTTTTCGAACTCAAGCTTGCCGACTCCTTTGATTGGTACTTTGCCAAGATCAGCAAGAGTCACAGCTTTTGAGTCATATGAGGGCTGAAAATCCTTGAGAATGGACTGATAGGGAGTCATGGTTTCAGAGCAGCCACTATCAAGAATAAACTCCTCACTACTAGTAGAGAAAACGTGCATGCAAGTAGCAGCGTTAAAAAGGACAGGACCATCGGACTCTTTGGACTCATCTTGACTTGTAGAATGACTTGCTATATTTGCTATGGCTGCCTTACCTTTTTCAGATAGTAGCTGAGGTGGGGGGACCCAATTAGGAGGCTTCTTAGGACAAGCATACCACGGGTGACCCCACTCATGACAACAAAAACACTCAAAATTAAACTTTTTAGCATTCGGGGCTTGGCTGAAATTTTTGACTCTTGGCATATTGACTCTTGCATTCCTAGGCTGGTATTGATTGGGAATCGAAGGCCTTGGCTGGACATAGTGACTGGACTTATAGGGAGGACTTGACTGAGGAAAACGAGAGGGTTTGTATGGGTTGGAAGGTGACTGAAATTTCGTACCGTAGTAGGGTTGAGGGCGGTTTGGGCTGAAATTTCCTTGCCTCTGGAATTGGTTGCCATTTCTTGTGGCTGCTGCAGCACTCCACGCACCTTCGTCACTCCGCTTGTTCCGTGCAAGGTCTCGACTCTGCTGCTCGTTGACAAGGGCCTCAAAGATGAACGCACGACTCTTCATTGACTGCGGGAGCGCTTGTAGTGTTGCACGGAAAGTGTCCCACTCCGGTGTAAGGCCGGTGAGGATGACGGTCTTGAAAAGAGACTCTGGAATCTCCAAGCCGATCGCTGCTGCTTCCTCCAGCATTGCTTCAGCTCGTTGTAGGTAGGCTTGTGCTGATTCATCTTCTTCCATCTTCAGATTCATGAAGCGGCTCCACATCTCGGCTTGGCTGCTCTCGGATTTTGACTGGTGCATAGTCTTCAGTCGGCTCCATGCTTCCTCTGCACTGTTTGCCTTGGTAGAACAGGGCAGGAGCGACTTCAACTGCTGCTCGTGAATGCTATTGAGTAGGTAGAGGAAGGCCTCCTTGTTGCGTCGTTCGTAAAGTCGTTTTTCAGCTTCTGAAGCATCTGCTGCTGGTTTGGCTGCTTCTCCAGTGTAGTAAGGCCACAGATCCAGAAGGGATGCAGTGAGCTCAAACTGAGTTGCCCATGTTGGAAAATCTTTGCCGTTGAACTTGGGGAGGTGAAGCTTAGGCATGAAGGAGGTGAGTGGTGAGTATGTTGTTGAAGGAATGCCTGGTGCAACTGCTTCCACTAATCCAGTAGCTGCTGATGTTGACTCTGAAGCTCCTCCGGCTGGCTGGAGTGCAGGACCAGATGGATTGTCTCCCGCCATGTTCGTATGGTGCTAGGATAGGAACGTGGTGGGCTAGGTTGATCGAAACGACAAGCTCTGATACCAACTTGTAAAACAGAGTAGCTGTGACTACTGGAGGGCTGGAAACTTGGCTGGAAAGTCTTAGCAGGGCTGCTGGAATTGACTGGATGAGGTAAAACTTCACTATGTTCAAGATTAACAAGCCCACTAAAGCACAACTCTAGGCATCACAAACAAGACAGATTGAAAGCTCAAACTAGGCTGATAGACAATG